TAATTCATATACAATTTTTTTTCTCTCTCTTTCAGGTTTACCCCAACATACATACTCATTTTTCCACCCAGCAAGCAAAACTTTTTCTTTCAGTTGTTCATATACACTGCAGGGGAAAAAAAAAATTCCCTCTTGCCTACAAAAACAAAAAAGGCAAGGAAATGGGAAGACTGTGTGGAAACCATAGAATAAAGAAAGTGGCAATGAGAGGATTTGTGCCAGGAGCATATTTGTACCCTGGAAGAAAGGAGGCAGACAGGATTGTATAGGTAGGGACATACAGTCTTACTGCCTGGAAATAGCATGGAAAAGGGAGCACTGGGTATCATCAAGGCAAATGCTGGCAGAAGGGACTCAGGGAAAGGTTTAAAGAGGTACGGAAGGGACAGCCAAATTCAAGGAGACGAGCTTTCAGCTACGAGTAGCTCACTGTGTGCCAAGGGCTGCAGATCCTGAGGGCAGGGAGGCTGCTGTGGGGGTGAGCAGCCCTGTGCCAGCAGTGCCCAGACACCAGGGTAAGGCCAGCTGCATCCAAGCACCATCAGGCTATCTTAGTTAGGGAACCTGCCCATCTCAGAGCAACTCCAAAGCCAAAGCAGAGAATGGGTGTGTTTAGCTCCAAGAGCTTCATTTGGAACTGGTAAACAAACACAAATAACCCTATGAATACTAAACAGTTTTCCCCAAAGACCCAACAGCCTGGCTCAGAACAAGGGTCTGAGATCAATTAGCTGTTTTACAAAACTCTTGTTGAGCCATCCAGATACAACTGGCTCTGCCACCACTGTCATTTCCTCAGAATTACAACACTGTCTCATTTCTTTTTGGTGGAGAAGGAGATGCTATGAGGAAGGAGAAGTGAGAGGATTTTATGTTTTTACCTGTCCCATGAAATCTGTGAAGAAGAGCATGTTGGACAGGAAAGCCATCCATCCAAAGAGGTGACTCACACACAGATATCGATAGTGGGATGGCATGCTTAAAAGTGTCTTCAAGAGCGATTTAAGGGTCATCCGCCTTTGTTCCTAAAAGCAAGTATTTAACAACAATATTTTATTATAGTCCCGAAGGCTAATAAAATAGCTGACAGCAGATGAATAAGGCCTCAGCATCTTTTCACTGCTAAACTACCAAAGTTTCTTATTTTTTTTGCTAGGGAGGGTTGCTCGGGTACTGTATGTCCTTCAGTATATATTTGATTTGTAGAGCCATTGCCTAATAAAGTAATTGGAAAGATTCACAGAGATTCTGGGAGAGCTGGAGGATATCAGCAAGGATGTAACATTCCTGGCTGTTATAATCAGTAGGATTATTTTTTACTTGAAGAAGCAAGTGAAAATTTTCTGCCAAAACAGATTCAGTGGAGTTTCAAAAAACCCAAAACCAAAAATAATTTATTTATGGAGACAAACAGCTTTACCTTGACAATTTAAAGCTGCCACAGAGAAAATGAAACACAAACACTGTCTAAGAATTAAAATTTATCAGTCATGCAATATGACACTTCTGAGACCTTGTTGCCATTCCCTTCTATGTGCTAAATTCCTTAGAAAACTTCACCTCTTCTGGCATACCATAAGATTTCCACTATGTGCTGTCCTCCTTTCCATGAAACAGGGAGAGACTGTGATACATCATCAGCACCACTCAAAACCCTAGCACCCAGAGAATGTGAGCTCCAGAACCTGAACACCTCATCCCATGAGAGAAACAACTCACTTCAAAATCAAAATGTTATTGATGCTGGTTAATAAATCTCACTGATGGGGGAAAAACAAAATTTCTCACCACCTTCAATGTACCACTTTATCTCCCTCCTCCTTGTCTGAGCCCTATGCCCAAAACTCTTAGTTTCTTTTCCAGCCACATTCATCAGATCACTTGTATCACCTGAATTTTTTTTTAGTACTATAGGTGTGCCTGATGTCAGGCATCTGCAACACACAATTCTTACTGCTTTAAAGATCCTGCATGGTTCTTTGCTTTTAAAGAAAAAAAGATACTCTTTTATGTGTGCATGATGGAACGCTTCCCATTTTCTCTAGTGATGTTTGGAAGCAACAGTGTTGGGAGAGATGGTAAGGGAAGCTGTACAGTCTGTAACATGGAAGAACTGTAAAAGTTATGTTCATTAATGGAAAGTGGAATTTAGCCTTCAATTTGCTATAAAATAATGACATTTTTTACTTCCTTCAATGTTCTGCTTACATTTCCCAATTCTGCATTCCTTTGAACTAGGTTATGCTGCAAGCTACTCTATTAATAATCACCACATATAAAGTTGGAAAATATTTTGCTCTGGTGGGAGGTTTTTAATCCTCATAGGAATGCCAAAATTCAAGCTGCTGACTTTCACCTTGAACTGCATATTGTCCAAATCCCTTGGAATTTCTCTTGCCATCACTGTCTCTTTTAAACAGGGTAAGATTTATATTCTTCTACAGTTTTAAAAAACAAAACAAAACAAATCCACATTGTCTCATTAATGTTATTTCAAGGATAATGACTGTTTTTTACTTGGCTTATTTAATTTGTTCAACTCTTCCATACAGTTCTTTAAAACAGCCTTTCCAATGGAAGTGTTAATGTAAGGTCAGGGAAGTACAAAGGACACTGTTGTAATTACAAACAATAATTAGACAGCTAGATAGAATCATAGAATGTATTGGGTTGGAAGGGACCTTCAAAGGTCATCTAGTCCAACCCCTCTGCAGTGAGCAGGGACATCTTTACTAGAGCAGGTTGCTCAGAGCCCCATCAAGCCTGACCTTGAATATCTCCAGGGATGGGGCCTCCACTACCTCCCTGGGTAACCTGTTCCAGTGATCCACCACCCTTATATTGAAAAACCTTTTCCTAATATCCAACCTAAATCTACCTTTTTCTAGTTTAAAACCCTTATCCCTTGTCCTATTGCTCCATGCCCTTGTGAACAGTTCTTCCCCAGCTTTCTTACAGGCACCTTTCAGGTACTGGAAGGCCGCTATAAGGTCCTCTTGGAACCTTTTCTTCTCCAGCCTGAACAGCCCCAACTCTCTCAGCACCTCACAGGAGACGTGCTCCAGCCCTTTGATCATTTTTGTGGCCCTCCTCTGGACACGATCCAACAGGTACATGTCCTTCTTAATGCTTGCTTTCCATTTAGATATTTTGGAGAGTGGGTATGGAAACTGAAATGTTTAAGGCACACATCCAAAGCATACCAACACACAAACCCCACACTAATTTAAATGACGTGCTGAAGTTTGGCTCTGTTTACTTGCTTTGTCCTTGAAAAGCTCACAATACCCAATCATTTCCTCTATAAAATCACTACAGCTCAAGGCCTAAGATGATTCAAGAGAAATCAGTATGACTTGTGTTTTATAGCAGTAGATCCTGAGTAATTTGGCACCAAACTAAAGAACAAAATGCGAATCACTTTGGATGTCTGTTCATACTATAACAGGTCAAATTTCATTAATAATCAATGATAGCTATTAGCATGTAAGACCACACTCCTTAATTTAGAAGATATAGGGCCACAATGCCTGCAGCAAATAAAGAGATGCAGAAAAACAGGAAGCCAAACCATTTCTTCAAGGAAGCAATTACAGTAATGAATGAACTCAGAAAACATGTGCCACAAGAGACAGACCATTAAGGCAGTGAGTGTCTAGAATTTATATATGCCTAGGCACATCAAAGAAACATGAGACAGATTAAAGCACTGTCAGCCTCTGTTGGGCTGTCCAGCTGAGAATACAGAGAGGAGGGCAATGGCACAAGCTGGCCCACAGTGGACACCAGAGCTTTACCTTGGGTGTCAGGCGTTACTGATTCAGCGGAATTAGTTCTTGCCAAGGTAGAAGCTACCCTAGTCCATAGTCTGGCCCCCCTGTTTTCACTTCATCTGCTCACTCTTCTTCATTTCCCTTCCTTTCTTTATAGTCCACATCAGCCACGCAGTCAACGACACTCAGCACCTCTGGCAATTCAGAGGATGCTCAGAGTGAACAGTGCTGGTGAAGGATGGTGGCTGCTCAAGTTGGTCTACAGTGGGGGAACAGGGACAGCATCGCTGTGTCTAGCCATCTTCTCCTGACAAACTATTGCTTGCTGTCCCTCTCTGTGTTTGCCTGGCATTCTCATCAGGCAGTGTTCATCTTTTATTCTACCTTTGTGTTGTATCTGGAGTAGTAATATTTTTTTCAGGTTAGGAATGCCAAGTGCTATTATAATACAGATGAAAAATAGTAAAAGATAATAAATCCTGTTTATCTGTAACTTAAACATGAGTTTAGGTTTCTAACTTATAACCATCTGCACATTCTCAGTATTTTTTATGTGACTTATCAAGACTTGTATCAGGAATAGATATACATAACACCAAGAGATCAGAAGTGAAATTCCTAGCACTGAAAGTCACCAACAAAACAGTAAAAACTATTATCTGTTTCCAAGACCATTCTAGAAATGTGTTCTCCAGATATTTTTCAGGCAGATTCACCTTTTCCTAGATTGCCTTAGATTGAAGCAATCTCTCATAAAAATGCAGCAGAAACAAAATAACAGTGACAATTTGAAAGTACTTGCTATTTTCTCCCACCTAAAAATTCTGCCAAAGACACAGCTACAACACCACTTCAAAATAAAACTAAAACTCCAGAAGTGAGCTAGCACTGTTGTAGAAGTAGCAATTTTAAACACATCAGTACTGTCAAAGCATCCTCAGTGAAATGCAGGGCAGCAGCCTAACTGCAATATGTACCAGGCCAGGCAACAAACACTTGATATGTACTATGTATGTAGGTGTGTGGACTTCAATGGGAGGTACAGATTTATATCAAAGATTAAAGGTCTGTAGTCCTTGTCCACAATGTGATGTTAATTCTGTCAGGACTAAAGGACAAAGTATATCCTCTTGTCAAGAGTCGCATGAGGAGGACATCAGGAGACTGGCACAGAGCAGAAACTTGAACCTCACCCCTGCCAATTGTTCAAAGCATCAGGATGAGTCTGTCTTGTCCCTCTTACTGGAAATACCTTATAAATAAAAAAGAGGATTTCCACTGACCGTGTGTCCTAGTGGAGGGTTCTTTTTCTTTTCCATTTAATGAAAGGACTCCATTCCAAGTAGTCAGCATTAGCTTATTAAAGGGTCTCCAAGGACAGAATGACATGAGTTAAAAAATAATCTCTGCACTTACCTCTGTACGTGATGTATCAGCCCATTTCCCTGGTTTAGCTGCAGCCTTTATTTCAGCACATGTTGATTTTAAGTAACTTTTATTGATTTCCTCCTCTATGGAGCTATATTTATAGGATTCAGTCACTTCCAACAAGAACTTTGCCTCTTCATTTTCGTATATGAGTGGGACTTCAGGAATACTGCGCAGATGTACAGTAAGGCAGATTATGAAAACCAAGGCTGCGATCAAGAAAATCACCTGGAATTCTGATGCCAAGGAATGTCCTAGTACAGTTTTACCCCAATCCACAGCACCTGTCAGGTAACCCAGGGCTCCTCCCAAACCTACAAGAGTGGGAAAAAATGAGAAAAAAGATCTACTAGCATTGATAAAACAAACAAAAAGGACACAGTACCCTCAACAGGTGATCCCGTCTAGAAATTACTGAATAATCCCTCTCCAGATACTAATCACAAGAAATAGGAATACTGAGTTAATCACATACATGAGCAGTTACCCAAACATCTCTTGAAAAATCTCCTCAGCTCTGGTGGACAAAGGTCTCCCAAAAATGCCTGAACATATAGCAACATGGCCTTCCATCTCTTTTCTTGATTCTTTAAAGCTTTATTTTCTTTGAAACAGTGAGTAATACAAAATAAAATTCTACTGAAATTTAAGGGGTTTTTTAAACTTCACAGAACAAATAAAGATTTTTTAACTATATCAACACTACCTATAGTTTTGATTTTGTAAAATGTATATTACATAGCTGAATCTAAACAGAAATACTGTCTCCATGTGAAATATTAAAGAAAAAAAAAAAAGGAAATAAAACCAAAAGCATTGTTTTGTAGTTATCGAAATCCAAGTACCTCACCACTTGGAAAATACAACAAAAAGGATCAAATACAAATATGGAATTTCATTTACTGATTTTCTCAAAAAATTTAGAAAAAAAAGTAAAATGAGAATGCTATCTGGTATCTTGAAGTTAATAAAACCAGTGTTTAGTTTGATTTTTTTAGAATTTCTTCTTAGTGCACACATTTCCAGAAGCACAAGAAAGTGCACACTGTTACACAGAGTACAGAGCTCTGGTAGGGGAAGCAGCTTTGTCGACTCCTGACACCTTATTAACCAGGTGGCTCTGCAGGATGTGGGAGTCAAGCAGGACAGGAGCATTTGAAGAACATGGAAGTATTTCTACTCATCTGCTTAGGAGAACTGAAGACAATCTATGGCAGAACCATTCTGTTTAACAAAAAGTAACAGAGGCAACAGGACTTAGATTTGCTTCACCTACAAAACATGGGATTTTTATTTCATTCTGAGCTTTTTGTACTTTTCTCCCTCTTGGGTCTGATTCTGGCCCTCTTTCATTGTTTCCTACTGCATTTCACAGGGGACTGTATCCTTGCTTGTTCTCATGAAAAACAACTAAGCTGTTAATAACTTTTTGAAGAAAACCCACACTGTTTGTAGAGAGTGAATGTCGGATGTTTGAGGGCATCTTTGCATACTGTTTTGATGAAAAGTAATCATGATATTGGAATGCAGCCTGAGTGTTGTGCATTGGATACATGCGCTCTTCCTTCCACTTGTCTTACTGGTCATAAGTTTTGTAACTGCAAAGCTATTGAGTTTCACGCTCAAACCTTAAATTGAAGACAAAGTAGAGAGCAAAATCTAGGAGATATTTAGTATGAAAAGAAGGAACTAAATAGAGGAAACAAAATAACTCAATATCTAAAACAGAAGCTAGAAAAGAAATGGGAAGATTGCTGTCTGTGTCTAACAGGGATAGAACAAGGGATGATAAATGCAAATTGTAGGGAATGGATATTAAGATTAGACTTTAGACAAAACTGCCTAACAACAAAGCCAGTGAAGTGCTGGGACAGACTGCCTTGGGAGGGCTGCACAACCCTTCTCAAGGGAGGATTTCAAGAACAGGCTAGGTAGTTACCCATCAGGAAGGGTTAAGATACTGATGATCTTGCTAGAGAGGGCACAGTGTGCTGGACCAAATAATGTACAGAAATCTGATGAGATTGTGAAAAGCTGTACTTTTCACAGCTCAGTACAGAAATGATTCAGCTAAATCTGTAGCTCCAAATTTGGAAATCATGCCCTTTTACTATCATCCAAGGAAAAATTGCAACCAGAGGTCTGCTGAAGGCAAGAATATACATACTCACTCCCCTCTCTGTCCAAACAAGTGATTGTTAGAAGTTTTATCTGTCAGTTTCTAATGGATAATACTGATTTCATTCCCATGTGGCTTTAAGGTTCCCTTATAATCTGTGTTTCCAGACACAGCTATTTTGTACGTCCAAAACTGACCTGTCATCAACAGCTACTACAGCTCCCTCCTCGACTAGAGTAACTGCGCCCCTACCTGGCTCTGCTCTTGATATGGCCCAGTAGCCACCAAAATCTGCATCAACACAGATTGCATGACTTCTCACCTAGTCTGCTTTTCACCTAGTCCTTTCACAATGACTGCTCTCAGACACAGCTGGAAGCTCCCCACAATTCACCTGACAGGTACACAGCTTTATGTGTCTTCCCTGTGGATTTTCTCAGTGCAGGGCTCACATCATACAGGTTTCCTTCCGTACAGGAAGTTTCCTTCTACAACTCATCAACATTTCAAACATGTAAATGAGCAAATGGAGCTCCTTCTTCATTTGCAAGAGCCTGGACTCAACCACTTGGACTTATTTTGTGGAAGCTGTGAAGCTCTGAATTTTACACAGAATTCCTATTCCCATGCAGGAAGGCAGAAATATTGGAGTACTGTTAAGAAGAATGGAAATCAACTACACAGCTTTTGCTCTATATCACATGTGGAGTCAAAAATGTTATTTTTATGTGCTATGGCAAGGAAACAAGTTGCATCCCTTAATTTTTGCTTCACCAAAAACTTGAAAAAATCAGAACAAGCTGAATAAACACTACTTCACTTTTTAAAATAATTAATTACTTAAATCATGGCTTTGTTGCTGTAAATGTTTATGCCTGCAGCCTTCTGCAGCAGAATTCTTGTAGCAGCAATCACAAGTTGCTGTTCTCTGGAGTAGCGAAAACCCAGCAACAAAAGACTCGTGACTGAAGCGTGGGATCAGATGATCAGTTCATTCAAGATTAGAAACACAGTAAGAATAAAATCCATGCAATTACCTTCCCCTCCTTACAGAGGTAGGGAGGAAAAGAAGGGATCTGAGTACCTGTAAAGAGGGCGTGGTAATGCAGACCCTTCTCCTTATCCTGATGAGAGCAGACATCAAATAAATATGCTTTGATGGGGCCATCAATAAAATCAGCTGCAAAATCAAAAAGCACTACTCCCAGCATGGTAATGACTATTGCCCATGTCCGCCGCTTGTCCCTCTCACCGATGGAAGCTACAAAAAGAAAAACACCCTCATTCTGACAGCAACAATGCCATGTTCTGCAAAACCACAATTTATCTTTCCTGATGCATCCAAATCTAAGCAATGCTTAGTTATGCAAGAGAGCACTGGTACCAGAATCACATCAGAGAAGCAGGATAACAGTCTGCAGTGCTGAGCTGTGCTAGGTGGACTTACTGCCTTTAGTCAGAACGAGCTCAGGGTACTCCAAGCTCCAAAATCAAGAGCACCACTAGCCTTAATCTACTCCTTTGCACCTCCATGGCATGCTCTGGTAGCCTAACACACATGCATTTTGTAGTATTTGTTTTATTCTATTTGTTCCACTCTTCCATTGTTTTAAATAATCAAGAGTTGACTGTAACATATCTTTTTGGACAAATGAACACAAATTTATTCAACACCAACCATATCCAAGAAGAGGGAATAAATCAACCAATAAAAACACAGCCTCCCCCCTCCGCCAAATCATAAAGACAGCTACAACTTTCCACCAAGACTTTGAGAAGTTACATCCATCCCAAGCTGAAATTTAACAGTCTCTAGGGATGCCACTGCTATCTGATTTTGCACATTCCAGGTGCAACACCACTTCCACGGAGTTGCTGATTTCTGTTATCCATCAGCATAACACATTCCTGAGACAACCCATTGCTGCAGTAATTAAAGATATGTATTTTGAATGCTAATCCATCTAAAATATGCATTAACAGACATCCAGTTCAGATGTGTATTACATCACACAAAAAAAGTTGATCTTTTAACCTAACAAGGTATATTTTAGTTCTTAAAAAATTCTCTGGGCCTAAGCAGTGCTTCCCTCATATAAACTGATTCAGGCAACCACACCAACATGCAACATACTGCAATCACATGCACAGACTACGCAACACTACGTACAGGGTACATAACATGCAGCATTAGGACTGAACCTCTATGAAGATTGCAACATTCCTCAGCTCCTTCAATGCAGCTGAGTGACACGATAGCCAGTTTTAACACCCCATTTGAGCAGGGAATAGAGGAGCCCTTCTTTTCTTTCTGATTCAAAAGGCTAGGATGAATTTTGTCTGTCAGCACAGCGTGTGCCCCTCACTCACCTGAGATCATCACGTCCCCATTGAGGTACAAAGCCATGCCTAACAGCATTATGATGCCCAGACCCAGAATGTAGGGTCGCCTCTTGCCCCAGCTACAGGTGCAGTGATCACTGGCTGAACCTACCACGGGCTGCAGCACGAAGCCCAAGATAGGGCTGATGAGCCACACCAGGCTGTAGAGGCTCTTGGGCAGACCTACACTGAGCAGCACCGGCGTGACAAAGGCAGCCTCCACGGCATAGCAGAACTCCCGGCCGAACATCGCCATGCTGTGCATGATCAGCCTTCCCACCGCTCGCTTCCTTGGCACCACTGCTCCAGTCCTCGTCACAGATTGCAGCACAGCCTCCTCCGCTTTGGTGCTGTCCATGTCGGCCTTGGCCACCTCCGAAGGGGGTGGAAGAGCCCCATGGAAACTCTCTTTCATTAAGGTCATCGCTCTGGCTACGCACAGTGCTCTGGCAAGTCCGTGCTGCCTGCCCTGGCTGACATGGAGCCCAGATCATATGCCGAGTGGGATCGGTCTGTGCTGGGGGAGGGACTCACATACTTTCATGGCTCTGCGATCACAAGTTATGCAAGGAAGGGGGCGGGGAAGCAAGTTAACATTAGCAGATCTGAGCTCTTGGGCGTCTGCAAAGCTCCCAACTATCCACAACTGAAGAACTACTGTTTAAGCACGAAACACACATATAACGGGAACACAGATCACACGGACGAGGCGCAGGATTAGCCTGACACAAAGCTATTCCTCTTGTTGCTGTAAGACCAGAAGAGGCCATGAGGATGATCCAAGGGCTGGAGCACCTCTCCTATGAGGACAGGGTGAGAGAGCTGGGGCTGTTCAGCCTGGAGAAGGCTCTGGGAGACCTTATAGGGGACTTCCAGTACCTGAAGGGGCCTACAAGAAAGCTGGGGAGGGACTTTTCATAAGGGTAGGTAGTGACAGAACAAGGGGAAATGGCTTTAAACTGGAAGAGGGGAGGTTTAGATGAGATATTAGGAAGAAATTCTTTCCTGTGAGGGTGGTGAGACACTGGGACAAGTTGCCCAGAGAAGCTGTGGATGCTCCTCCCTGGAAGTGTTCAAGGCCAGGCTGGATGAGGCTTTGAGCAACCTGGTCTAGTGGAAGGTGTCCCTGCTGATGGCAGGGAGGTTGGAACTGGATGATCTTTAAGGTCCCTTCCAACCCAAACCATTCTGTGATTCTATGAAGACAGCAGTGATACCAAGAAACTAGAGGCTTCATCTTTCCATTCAGCAAACAGCATGAGCACAAGAGTGCCACCTTCCTGTTGATCAAATGGGGGGAAAGGAACCTATATTTGTCCATAAAAGAATTTTGGTGCACTTCATGAAGTGAACCTACCTATTGCCCTAGAGTGTTAGTGGCAGACTAAAAGCTTGACACAAGTATCTCGAACAGCAACTGGTGAGTATTTTTTTGGCTCTGCTGTGTGCCACTCTCAATACAACTGATTATTTTCTTGGTGTCCGGAAAAAAAAAAAAAGTATATAAGGATCATTTAGGGTTTTTCAAACAGTCTTGCCTGCCAAGAGAAGGCCTTAAAATAAATTTGCAGTCACGTACCAAAACTGTACCTTTCAGGTTAACCACCTGGGCGAGGCAGCTGATCCAACCTACACTGAATCATAGAATCACAGAATGGTTTGGGTAGGAGGGGAATCTTTCAAGGTCATCTAGTCCAACCCACCTGCAGTGAACAGGGACATCATAAATCCGATCAAGTTGCTTACAGCCCCATCCAACCTGACCTTGAATGTTTCCAGGGATGGGGCTTCTACCACCTTCCTGGGTAATCTGTGCCAGTGTTTCACCGCCCTTATTGTAAAAAGTTTCTTCCTTCTATCTGAAGTCTGAATCTCCCCTCTTCTAGTTTAAAACCATCACCCCTTGTCCTATTGCTACAGAGCTTGCAAAAAAGTTTGTCCCCATCTTTCTCACAGGCCCCTTTTAAGTATTGAAAAGCCACAATAAGGTCTCCCCTGGAGCCTTCTCTTCTCCAAGCTGAACAGCCCCAGTTCTCTCAGCCTTTCTTCACAGGAGAGGGGTTCCAGCCCTCTGATCATCCTCATGGTCCTCCTCTGGACCTGCTCCAACTGGTCCATGTCTTTCTTGTGCTGAGGACTCCAGAGCTGGATGCAGCACTGCAGGTGGGGTCTCACCAGGGCAGAGTAGAGGGGAGAATCACCTCCCTCGACCTGCTGGCCACGCTTCTCTTGATGCAGCCCAGGATACGGTTATTGGCCTTCTGGGCTGTGAGAGCACATTGCTGGCTCATGTCCAGCTTTTCAACCACCAGAACCCCAAGTCTTTCTTGGCAGGGCTGCTCTCAATCCCTTCATCCCCCAGCCTGTATTGATACTGGGGATTGTCCCAACCCAGGTGCAGGACCTCACACTTGGGCTTGTTGAACCTCATGAGGTTCACACGGCCCCACTTCTTGAGTTTGTCCAGGTTGCTCTGGATGGCATCCTGTCCCTCAGATGTGTCAGCCTCACCACTCAGCTTGTCATCTGCAAATCTGTAGGAGGTGCACTTGATCCCACTGTCTATGTAATTGATGAAGATATTAAACAGTACCTGTCCCATTATTGACCCCTGAGGTTAACCCCTGAAGATAGCATGAGTTTTCAGACTGGCTTCAGTGATTCTGCAGTCAAAACTTGGGTGCACTAGGGATTACATTTGATGTTTATATCAACACGATCAGATGAATCTGGGACAAAGTAAATTGTCAAATCTTACTGTAAAGGTGTATAATATTCAGTAATTTACATTAGAGTGATTATCAGCTGGAAACTTAAGATGCTTTTCTTGATTGTTTATTTAATTTGTCAGGACCTGCTAGATAATTCTTGCTTCCAGGAAGGTGTTAGAATGTAAAAAGTTTTTTTTATAGTGATAATGCTGACATTTTGGCATGACACAACTAAAATGAACCAAAGTATTTATCAGCTTTCAAAGTCTTTATAAGCAACAAATAGCAAGGTAAACACTCTGACAAAATTATCAAAAACCCCAACCCCTCATATCATAATTCCTGACATGTCAGACTGTCAGACTAAAGGAAACTGTATTAAGGCTACATAATTAATTCTTTTTAAAAGGGTTTTTGGTTTGGTTTTTTTTACCTTGAAGGAGACTATTTCAAGTGATGGTTTAATTTGGAAGGAAATGAAAACCACTATGGAATAACCGTTGTTTAAAACCTGTGCAGCTACTATTCCTCTGAAAGGAGAGGAAAGGATTAATACTTGGCAGCTATTTTAAAATAACAAATTTCATTCTGAAGTTATTTTCTAGGTAAACTGAAATTCCGAATGTAATATAATCAGGAGACGACATTAGGAAAATGTAGTCAGGCTATTAAGTAGAATTACTTCACGATAATAACTCTACAGCAGCACATAAGAAAACAGCATTATTTCGATCATTGTTTTTGCATGATACAGCAAATGAATTAATACGATAAAAGAGAAAAAAAATCCCTTCTAATCTCCGAGGAAACAACACAATCACTTGCTTAGGAAGAATATAACTATATTTTATGAAAAGTATTGCCTTAATGTAATTACAACATATATTACAAAGCAATGGTTAACTATATTACAAAGCAACGGTTAACTAAGAATTAAAAGAAACAAACATTTCACAGGATGTGATATTTAAAGAAACATTTTGAAGATTTACAGCTGCTTACTAAGCAAACTGTGTAGATCTTCAGAACACAATTTTGGTATCATTCTGGACTGCAGAACATCCAGGTACATAAGTACATAACTCCCATTGTTTTAAATTAAATTTAAAACTTCAATAATTTTAAAAAATTAAAAAGCTGCATTATGCAAACATTTGTCATATAATTCAATTTTAATGCAAAACCCCATATTGTATCAGCCTGAAATTTGTCTGATCTGCATCGTAAGAGATTATAAATTAGCTTTTGGTTTACTGAATTCTATTACTTTATCAGAATAAAGTTTAGTAATCTCTTGCTTAGTAAATCCATATTCTAGAAGTATCTCTTCTGTGTGTTCTCCTATAAAAGGATCTCTTTTAAATGATGGAACAGCAGGAGTCCTTGACAGAAGAGGAGCAGGTCTAGGACTTATCTCTTCCTGATCATTTTTGATAAAAGAACTTCTTTGTTTGTTATGTTGATGTGCGGCAACTTCATCAAAGGATAAAACAGGGGTCACACAGGCATCAGTACCATCAAATATGCTACACCACTCAGCTTGTGTCTTCTGTGAAAATATGGATGCAAATTTTTTCTTCATTTCGGGCCAGTCCGAGAAACTCAGCTGACTAGGAAGTTTATCTGAATCTAGCCCAAGACCTGAAAAGAGAAAAGCAAAGTTTAATTGTAGCATATAGCGCAGGTAAATGAAAGTGCTGCCCACAACTAACTCTGTTCCTCAAGAAGCTAATATTCTGCAGGCAGTCCAACACAGCAGAGCATACTAGCTAAAAGTCACTTCAAACTTTATTATGATATCTATGATTGCAGGAGAAGGAGCAGAAGAATAAAATGTTCTATTACTTGCAAGCAGACTAAACCGCATCAGCTACAGCCTTTTAGCTAAGTACATATAATAAACACTCATTTGTATAAACACTTCATAAGAGCAACAGCTGCCTGGAGTTAACATTGTGTACTGGGAACATTTTCTATAACAGGTATCGTATTCTCTACTGGGCAGGAGCAAAACAAAAGTCTGCTGAATGGGTCTTGGACTACAATATACTAGCAATATACACAGCTAATGCAAGCCAGTGCATCTGCCAGAGCTGGACGCTCAGCAGGCTACAGGGTGTCCAACACGACTGGGTTATCTCTATGCCAGAGATGAGAGGACAGTGTGGATGGATACAGCCAGGCTCAATGTGCACGAGGTAGCTCAGCTGCACGCGCCTGCAGGTTAACTGACCTGCTTCTTGACTCCCTCACTCCAAACGGACTCCAGCAGCGTTTGCTGCTCTCCCCTCTTCAGCACACTTCCCAGGCTCCAACTCTCCACTGCTGCTCTTTTGGAAAAGTGAAATCCATAACCCTTTCACTCACTAACTGCTTAAGAACTCTGCTTCCGAGAAGTCCAGTCGCATGGAACACCTTGGTATGCCACAGGCACATCCCTTTTGAGACCCAAGAGCAGAAAATGGACACTCAGGCTTTGTACTGGAAATATCCTGAACTAGGCAAGTCCTAGGTCCTTCCCTTGACTAAGCACCAACTTCCCTCTCACTGGGGAGTTTACATCTCTCCGGTGCAGACACTTTCCCACCCCTGTTTCTGTTCCCATGGTTTCTGCTCTCTGCACTCCCTACCCCTTCCATTCTTCTCCTTCAAGGAGATCCAAGAAATGTTATCACTTCTTGTAGGTTTGATCTCAAAAAGGAGGTAAGAAATA